ATAAAAATGGATTTTTACTAAAGTAAAACCGGGTTTTTTGTATAAATCCATTTTTCATCCAGTAAAAAAAAACGGAAGTATGTCAGATCTTTTAAAAACTGTTTTTACTCTGGCAATAGAAACAGATTTTTGCTAAAGTAAAACTGGGTTTTTTGTATTGATCCATTTTTTATCCGGAAAATATTCTGGATAAAAAACGGATCAATACAAAAAACTGAATTTTTGCCTGATATGTTCGAAAATTTTTTTTTACAGGGATGTAGAGTATTAATCCTATGCAATTCTAGTACATGTAGTTTAATTATTAGTGTACATGTATAACAAATAAACAATTTACATGTACATGTATATTGAGTAAACCTCAAACATATTAGCAAATTTGACGTTAAGATTTATTTGTTACAGCCCTGTATAAAGTATTTTTTTTCTTATTTTTTTTTGCATTTGTTTAACACTTTGAATTTGGTCAGAAACATTGACTAGAAAACAATCTAATGCTCTATCTCACAACATTTTTACTTGTAATTTATTGAGTATTACATGTATAATAAAACAGAAAAAACCAGTTATATGTAGTTTCATTCTCAAAAAAACAATATACATGTACATGTATAAACTTTTTTCATTGTCATTTCTTAGTAAACCTGCCTTAATAAACTGGATTTATTAAATAAATTGGATTTTCTATCAATTCGATTTAACAGGAGGTTAACGCTATATGTACATGTACCTATAAATATATAACGATAATGATAATGTTTAACAATTTTATTTCCTTATTATCCTTCAAAATGATGCTATATAAACTTGTCCTACTTGGTGATGGTGGTATAGGAAGGAATACACTTATTTTGCAATTATATTTAATTCTTGAAGATTATGAACTCATGTTTGTAGATTCATATACATGTACGTAAAATGCAGGTTATTATTGATGATCAATCTTGCATTATAAAGGCACATGTACTTGGACAATATGAATATACTGAATTGTGTGATCAATATATAAGAGATTGTGCCAGTTTTCTTCTTGAATACTCGATCTCATCTCAGTCTACATTTGAGCGGATGCAACGATTTTGGGATCAGATAGCTAGAGCTAAAGACTCCAATTTGGCTCCTATTATGCTTGTTGGCAACAAATGTGATAAAATTACTGAATGGGAAGTTTCACGACGAAAACATATGTAAATGTTCATAGAGAATTTTATACTGTTGTCAGAATGATTCGGGCTAGTGAGGGGGGGCGTGGTGTGATTCCCAGAAGAAAGAAGAAATATGCATAATATTGTAATTTAATTTTGTATGCTTTTTAGATATAGGAGAAAATCTTTATATATTGTTTATACTGGAAATTTTGGAAATTCAAAATATAATTAGATACTATAACTTTTTATTGTTTGGTTTATTTATACAACTATTAGTGTTTCTAATACAAATGCAAACTTAGAGACGATTATAAGTAAGTTAAAGATTGATTAGATTTGAAAAAATTATAATAGATAAAATTTCGTATTTACTGTATCTTGAAGTATTTCTCAAAGTTATCAATAAATCTGTTAATGGCTTTTGAATGCAAATTTACTGGTAATTTTCTAGTGGCTTATACTATTTGCATATACATACTTTTAAAAGAAATGCACTATATGTATAAATTATTAAGAAACATACAAAAAGTTGAAATTTAAAAAACCTCTTAAATTGAAAATAATTTTCAAATTACTTTGCAATTAGAAAAAAAATTTATTTATTAATAAAATTGAACACTTTAAATTTCAATTTTTGATATATTTTATTAATAGATTGGATTTACCCATACTAAATCTAATACATTGTACTAGATTATGACAGCAAATAAATCAAATTTTCTATCAATCAAAAGAAGCTAACTGAGATTAAATAATGATAAATTACTTTCTTTAGATATAATAATTATTATGATTATTATTGTAGATCTATCATAATTGCACATGAGAAACAATCATGTGCCAAGTGTGAGGAATGTAACACCAGCTGGTAGAACATGAAAATCAATTAACCATAAAAAGAAGTCACCAAACCAAATGTTACACCAACTTTTACCTATTATTACGATCCAAAAGGAAGTCAAAAAAGTTGGAGAAGTCAAGAAAGTCGAAAAAGTCAAGTAGATCAAAATAGTTTATTAACAAATCTTTATTTTGTAGTTGTGCATGAATCAAAATATACACCAACCGTGAAGTGTAGTGCTCATTCACCAATTGTAAAGTGTAGTTTGATATAAAAAAGAAATAGATTATAGTGAGAGGATCTATATAATAATAATATATCAACATTTTTTTCAGAATTATTTTTGTTGACTTTTACATCCAACTTTGAATATGGGATAAATTTCACCAAATATTAAAGAAAATATCAAGTTTTCTATTTTGAATTCAGTTGTGAGTGAAAATACTGCTTATTTGCTCTTAGAAGATATGTGAAAATAACTTTCAGTCACAGTTCTATGAGTAGTATCCAGTACCAATCGTTAAATAATTAGTCTTGATGCCTAACTAGAGATAGAAATTGAGATCTTAACAGGTCAAATAAAATTTAAAGCTATTTCTACAGCTAATGATAAACCAAATCCCAATTCAAATAATATAAATAATGAATCAGAAAAGTCAACTAATAGTAAAACTGATATCTCAAGTAATAATGATCAAAGCATAAATAGAAAAATAGCAATTACCAAAAATACAAATAATATGTTGTGGATGAATAGAATAGTTATCATCAATTCTCGTAAAATATCCCATTTTTATTTCAATGCACAATCGTAAATATCTCTGATATCATATATATATTACCAAGACAGTTCTTTGAGTATTTTTTATTTGTCAAGTATATCATATTAATAGTAATAACAATAACGAATAAATATGCACATGCATGCAAACAAATATAAAATAACTTAACTTGAATAGAATTCATATATTTTATTAGCATTCTGATATTTATGATATATGTAAAATATATTAATATCTGTGATTACTGGTCTATTAAATCAGAAATAGATGAAATTATACTAATATTTGAGTGATATATGCCTCACAAATAATTTTGGGTATTATAAAATATTTGACATTAACAGATATATTAGCAAATAATAATCTCTTTTATTTCACATAGCAATTTTATGATGCGTTTAATAACAATCTTATTAAAGTTATTGTATCAGATGCTTACCTTTGTATTGATGAATTAATATATTAATGAATGAGCAAGATTGATAAGAATCTATTTTAACAAAAGATATCAAGAAAGCCATATTTAATTGTTATGAATTTAAAATTCTTGCAGATGCTCAAATTAATTTGTTCTTATAATTGGATCTCATAAAATCTCCATAATATGCTATAAAAAAATTTCTCTAATCAATAACTGCAACTATATTATAATTAACAGAATTATAATTTCGCAATGGTAGAATAATTATCATAAATTCATAATTTGATAGTACCAATATATGTATTGTTTTGTATAAACAAGAACTTTATTCAATTTTGCAACTTAAAAAGCATTATTACTGGCCAAAAAATATTTCTCATGATATTATGGATACTCTCAAAGATACCTATAGATCATTCATTAGTCAATTCGAAAAATTAAATAATGTTGATTTAACCATCTACTTAATTTATGACTGCAAAAATATTATCATTTTTTCAAGTTATTCTATAATCAATCTCAGAACAGAAATAAAATAATATATCAAGAGCCATGATAAAGTAAAATTTTAGTAATCTGTTGTTTTTGATAAATATAATGAATTCAGATCAGCTATAGATATTCTAAATAATTTATACAATAATGTATCTTCTTATTATAATATTCTCAAATCAAAATGCTCTGTAGATTGCATATTTGCTTTTTATTTTATAGTTATAGAGACAAATAGCTTTTTTGCATATTGTAGATTTGTTTCTGGCAAGCAAAAAATTAAACACACAAATTTTCAGAAGCAATTAGCAAAATTGATCTTTGAATGCTATTCTGATATAACAGTTGCTATCAAACTAAAAAAAAATGAAAGCAGAATTTTGAAAGTATCAAGCATCATCTCGTTAGCATTAGAATGATCCTATAATCTTATGACTCAAAGGAAAATATGTTCAATATTAATGTTTAGATTGTCATATATGTACAACTACTTGTTGCAGTGTTACAGCGATTCTGGATAGTGGGTTTCACTGAGAATCACTACAAGCATATGATGTTGGGAGAGGGGCGATTAAAC